GTTCACTTTACACTACATTTTTCAATATCAGTTAAACATGACACAGTTAAAACAAATTATACTGAAATGTGGTGCAGTCATTTCAACTACAGACATGTGGAGACATTAAGGTCATTGTGCTGTGTATTGGTGGATATTCTGTATCTCCCCTCAAGCTCTGGCCAGCTCTGTGCAGATTTCACACAGTTTAAAGCAAGAGGTCCATGAACCCTTGCAGAGAGCTACCCGACAAGTATACAAAACAGCAGCTATCTAGTTCATCAACCAAGGACAGACTCCCATCTCCATAAGCACCTTCATCAAGATACTGTATCTGACTCTGTTGTAAGCAACTTCTAAATCAAGTGCCCCCTCAACTGTTTCCTGTCTGTTCTGGAAACCTTTGAAGGCATCAAAGGCAAAAGTGGCTGCATTTTACCATGTGTCCTTCCCTGGCTGGTAACTTCCTAAACCTCATGGAAAGAGATTTCTCTGTTCCAATAATTCTTGTTGCTTACCCGCCACTATCTTCTCCAGCACTTTACCAAAGGTGTTTTGTAGGGTTATGATCCTAAAGCCATTGAGTGTTGAATGATCCTTGCCAGGCTTAGGAAGTGGAATCAGGTAGCTGTGCATCCACTCTTGTGGGACTGAAGCTGTCCTAATGCTCTGGTTAAAACAAATAGTCATCTCCACCAGGTCTGCATCGCTCATGTCTTTCATGTGGGAAAATTTAACTTGTCAGGCCCGGGTGCAATGTCTTTCGCCTTTTTCAAAACATGTTTCACATCTTGCACCTGAATGATGTCTTCATAATGTTTGTTCTTTAAGATGGCTGCCAGATCTACTCTAACTTTATCTCTGTTATCTTCATCATTGTGGTCTGTCTGTGAAATAAACCTCTTCAGGAAAGCCTCCCCCTTCTCTTTGTCTGAGGTTAAGAGCATAACGTCATCTCTATGAATTGTTCCCACTACCTTGGACCAATCTTTCTTGAGCATTTGACTATGCAACCTCCAAAACATTCCCAGTGTCTTGTTACCCTCTGTCTCAGCAACGAAATGCTCTCATTTTGCTTTTTTGGCCTCTGCTGCACAATGCTTGAAAAACTCTATCCTATCTTTCTTATCCCTTTCTGCGCACTCCAATCTTCCTGTGAGCATAGGGCTGTCTGTCGCACTTTCTTTAAATGCTTAACTGCAGCTCTCTTCAACTTCCATGCCTGTTCAACCTCTGATGTCCACCATGGAGGCTGCACAAACGTAGATCTGCCGGTTCTCTTATATGCCTTCTGTCGGAGATGTCCAAGAAGGGTGTTTGTCCGCTTATACTTAAAAGGCCTGCGAGCTCTTGAAACCTTGAAATACAATATAGAATACAATCTAGAAATAAAAAATATTATGTTTTTTCAACATAAACTAAAATCAAATGCTTTCATGTCTCGTAACATCAAGAGCACAATATTGGAAACAGTCTTACAATGAATTGTTAGACCCATAAAAGATATAAACAGTAAGGAGTGAGAAGTAACAACAAAATTTAAAGACTGTTTAAATCACCACTTATCTGTGGGATCATGAGAGGTAATAGACGGAAATAACTGGGGCATATAGAAAGAATCACAAATGAGAGACACAGGCAAGTGTACACAAGCAGGTTGAATGGTCGTAGATCATGAGGCACAACAAAAAGAGGAAGTGAGTTAATAAAAAGCAAATATAATTACCTTCACAACTTCCGTTGGCAGTTTTGCGGAGCCCGTCTTTACACAGACACTGAAAGCTTCCTACAGTGTTCACACACTCCTGGTAATCATAAGGACACGTCTCCATAGTTTGATTCTGGCACTCATCCACATCTTGGGAACAGTCACTGGAACCCCACCCAGGTTTGCAGACACAGAGCCCATTTGTACTGTTGCATGAAACGGTCTTGTCTCTGACACAGTTGCAGGTCTGGTTGCACGACTCACTTCCATATTGGAATTCTGGGCATTCTGGAAATTGAGATAATAAATACATAAGTACTTGAATAGTAAACAAACAAGCAAACAGACTTTATTTTCCAAGGATTAAGAGCAGGGCAAGCAGGCCAGTCTTTAATTCTGCCCTTGAAAAACCTGCCATGATGTGAGGGTCTTCATGGAATATGATTTATTGTCAAAGGCATTAAGACCTATGTGTTTAAGCTCCCTGAGGACACACACACAAACATACTCATACACACACACATACTCACATACAAAGACACACCCACACACAACACACTCAAACACCTACCTACACATACTCACATACACAAACACAGCCACATACACACACCCACACAACACACACTGAAACATACTCACACACACACATACATACATACCCACATAAAGACACACACACCCACCTACCCATCCATCCACCCACTCACACATACATACATACATACATACATACATACATACATACAATAAACACACACACACACACACACACTTATATATATATATATATATATATATATATATATATATATATATATATATATATATATATATATGGGCTCTACTTGGAATAACGGTTCTAAATGAACTACTCAGAAAGTTAATCCCTCAGAGCCTCATTACGTCCTGCCCTACAACCATTTCAAAATGTCGAGGCCGGAAACGTACGCTGACCTGGGGTCAGTAACGTGCAAAATGTGAACTTCTTCTTTCGCCGACTATAGTGCCACCTCCGAGAGTATCCCCCGCACCGCTACGAAACTAGATGTGGCTAGGACTCACGAGCAAATACATTGGAGGAAGCTGCAGGAGCTACGGTAGCTGCTGCTCGTGAGTCCCAGCCATCTAGTTTAGCCCCCTCTGCGCCGCGCGTAGCGGCGCATGGTATACTCTCGGAGGTGGCACTATAGTCGGCGAAAAGCGATCGGCTACTTACATATAACTCGGCCCTGCCGTTGGATAGCGCTATCGGGAGTATTGTCGCGTGTAGGTAATTTTTTTTCGTATGTAGTTAATCCTTGTTTTGCCGCCATCTAATCGCCGTAAAAAAATCAGTTGCGTTCCGCGAAAATGTCGTGCGCAGTTAATACTACTTTTGACACGGTTGAATCGCCGAAAAAGAAATGCGACTTTTACATATGTGTGAGGCTCTTTTCGGGTTATCTGCGTTGTGAGGCTCTGTTTGGGTTAACTTTCTGCGTAGTTCATTTAGAACCGTTATTCCAAGTAGAGCCTATATTTGTATGTATGTACAGACAGACAGATAGACAGACAGACAGACAGTCAGACAGAATTTAGATTAGTTGTAATATTCATTGTTCTGCATTAATCAGTCTTGTGTCAATAAAAACAATATTCAATACAAAGAAAGCGTTTATAGCACAATCGATGCAAAAGCCACCGGCATAGATCGATATAGACTGCGGATAGAATACCTACCTACATGTGGAGAAAAGATCGCTCTGCTTTCATCAGTATTCGTTCATCAGTTGTACACATACAAACATCAAATACGTGTAGTCAGTCTAACTCCCCGTACAACAACAGAATAAGAACTGACCTGTGCGTCGATTCGACGAGGGCCGTCAGTAGGGACAGCCACGATTCGACTTCTGTATGCTGAAGGCTTGAATTCGCAAACACAAATGTGCCAGTGGCTGGAACAGTTCTCTTTGCCTGTCCCTTACTAACACACTGCATGGGCCCAGTATCGATCCTGTCCACCTAACCATCTCTTATAATTATGGATGACCCTTATCGCTATGTGTATGTTCTTTCCATGTCACTCCCATTTTCTATAGATACACACTCTTTCTCTCTCTCTCTCTCTTTCTATCTTTCTCTCTCATTGTGCCTGTCTCTTTGTGTGTGTGTGTGTGTGTGTGTGTGTCACACACGCTTACGCGAGCAGGCACGCACGCACCCACGCCCCCCCCCCTCTTCGCCCCACACACACACAAAAGTCATTGCCATTACAAACAGATTGACAAACAAGCAACCAAATAAAGACATACAGATGGGAGTTGAGTGTGAGATGAGTAAATAGGGAGCTACTTCAGGGGAGTTGGGTGTGAGATGAGTAAATAGGGAGCTACTTCAGGGGAGTTGAGTGTGAGATGAGTAAATAGGGAGCTACTTCAGGGGAGTTGAGTGTGAGATGAGTAAATAGGGAGCTACTTCAGGGGAGTTGAGTGTGAGATGAGTAAATAGGGAGCTACTTCAGGGGAGTTGGGTGTGAGATGAGTAAATAGGGAGCTACTTCAGGGGAGTTGAGTGTGAGATGAGTAAATAGTGAGCTACTTCAGGGGAGTTGAGTGTGAGTTGAGTAAATAGGGAGCTTCTTCAGGGGAGTTGAGTGTGAGATGTGTAAATAGGGAGCTACTTCAGGGGAGTTGAGTGTGAGATGAGTAAATAGGGAGCTACTTCAGGGGAGTTGAGTGTGAGATGAGTAAATAGTGAGCTACTTCAGGGGAGTTGAGTGTGAGGTGAGTAAATAGGGAGCTACTTCGGGGGAGTTGAGTGTGAGATGAGTAAATAGGGAGCTACTTCAGGGGAGTTGAGTGTGAGATGAGTAAATAGGGAGCTACTTCAGTATTAGTAAAGGAACCTTTTTCCACGCCTTAGGGCTTATTGGGCATATAGGGCTAGACCTCTATTCTAGTGACCAATCGGTACTCGGTGGGGGTGATGTGGTCAATATTGTAAGTTACACAGGTAAATATGTAGGTAAATGCAGATTAAGTAGGTAGATAGTCACATACATACGTGGGTTAGTTGTGAGCTAGATAAGTATGCTGGTGGGTAGGGAAATACGTAGATTGGCATGCACGTAAATAACTAGACGTATTGTTATATAGATATGTGTGTAAGTAGTTAGGTATGCAAATTAGTATGACGGTACGTATATAAATAGGTGCGTAGATTAATAAGTAAACATTAAAAAATGTAAGTAGGTGCATAGGTTGGTACATGTGTAAGTAGGTATAAATATATAGAAGTATCAATTACCATGTGACCAGAAGGTGGCCACAAACCCGGGTCTCTGGCCGCTGTCGTCAGACTCAAAGACAACCAGCATCCTGTTTCCTGTAGACCGGATTATGGTTCTAGCCAGCTCCGTTTGGCTCATGATTCTACACAAGACTGCCAGGAGCGGAGAGTTGACCGTGGCGCCATCATAGACTCTCACGTAGTCTGGGCAAGTGTCTGCAATCGTTGCTTCTACACTACTTGACACCCCTTCGAGATCTAGGCTGTTAAACCTGTAGATAATTGCACAAGATTGTAAATGATCTGTTATCTATAGCTTGTGTGCATCAACTGCCAAGTGGCTGAGTTGTGTTGCCTTGAGAACCATCATCGAGGCATTCCCAACATTGAAATAAGCCCCCTATTCCTATCTTTAGAAATAAGCTCAGAGTTCTGATTACGATATGTCTGCTCTGTGGCTAAGTCGATGCGAACGCTTCGTAATGCCGGGTTCGATCCTAACGGCGGGCCATGCGCCTTGCGTTGGTTTCGACAGTGGTATCAAGAAAGCCGACTGTCCAAAAAGCAATGGCAAACTACTGGACGTAAATTTGCATAGAAAGGGGTTGGTTCTGCAACGTACTGTAAAGTATACGCAACAACCTTTTCTGATTACGATGGTACCAGTTGCAGTTTGTATGTTTGTGTTGTCTTTCCTTTCGACGTTGAGTCGGCCTGATCACCCAGTCACTCCCTGCAGCCCCTTTGGACATTGAGTCAGCCCGATCACCTGGTAACTCCCTGCAGCCTCTTTGGACATTGAGTCAGCCCGATCACCTGGTAACTCCCTGATGCCCCTTTGGACATTGAGTCAGCCCGATCACCTGGTAACTCCCTGATGCCCCTTTGGACATTGAGTCAGCCCGATCACCTGGTAACTCCCTGATGCCCCTTTGGACATTGAGTCAGCCCGATCACCTGGCAACACCCTGATGCCCCTTTGGACATTGAGTCAGCCCGATCACCTGGCAACACCCTGATGCCCCTTTGGACATTGAGTCAGCCCGATCACCTGGCAACACCCTGATGCCCCTTTGGACATTGAGTCAGCCCGATCACCTGGTAACTCCCTGCAGCCTCTTTGGACATTGAGTCAGCCCGATCACCTGGTAACTCCCTGCAGCCTCTTTGGACATTGAGTCAGCCCGATCACCTGGTAACTCCCTGATGCCCCTTTGGACATTGAGTCAGCCCGATCACCTGGTCACTCCCTGCAGCCTCTTTGGACATTGAGTCGGCCCAATCACTCGGTCACTCCCTGCTGCAGTTTTCTCTCCGCGCGTGATGATCTTCTGAACTAGATGACAATTAAGGTCAATTCATCTTTTTCTTCGCCTTCACCAGCCTAATACTCTTGCGGAAAGTTCTGGTTGTTCGTCCACTTCTGGACTGTGGTCATGTTCCATCACTTGATTTCTGCGAGCACAGTCTCTCAGGCGACTTAGCAGAAAACAAGCCCTTACAAACGGGAAGAACCATGGACAGGGTCGCTTAGCTCTCTTTCAAAATGTCGACCCCAACTCTACAATAATTACAGGGGATGGATCAAGGAACATAACACAACTCTTGTCTTGTAATCTTGGTAATGTTAGTTTCAGCTTCATGGCAAACGGGTCACCCCATAGTTGCTCCGCTCCTTGCCAACGAAAAACACACAGAATGTTCATCATAGCCCTTGTTGAAAGTTTGACAGACTGCTGTCTCAGCATATGCACTAGCATACACACGCATTAAAATCATAAGGTAGCCATCAAATGTTCCAGCACAAACAGTCCGACATTATAAATGCAGTTCATCATCGACCGTAGCAGAGGTAACCAACAAATCAGCAGTTGCACACGCGATCAATTTTAATCACATAAGGGCACCACCAATATTGCGACAAGAGGCCACGCGCCGTTATCTTAGTCTACAGTTTACAACACCATGTTGGTCACAGTCGAAAGACATTCCAAATGAAATCCATAGCTAACAGGGTCGCACCATGCACTCAGCTCAGTAGCTGTGCGACGAAACTATATCATTTCAGTCTACAAATGGAGCAAAAATGCAACTGCCGCAGAAGCAAACAATTTGTTACGACTCAAAACAGTTTTTGTCTTGTATCTGATCCTAGGAGGACGATATTATTTTCCCACACCCATCACTGACTTAAAACGTAAGGGTATTGGGAATCCATTCCAGAGTTTCATGGCCAGAGGTGGTGCTCCGTTGCGTCGTATTTGCTGCCTGAAGTTAGCAATCGATGCCAAGCACTGTATGTGGAGCGATGTCCAGTAGCACATTGACTGGATAGAAGTATGATCTATGATTTCCCCTCCCCCACCCCTGGGAAGAGAATAATGTCCCTCACCATGTAATATTTGCAAAGGCAATAGTTGGTGCACTCTATTCAAAGTTTATTGCAGAGAGGGCGCAAACGTTACAAATTATCTTGTGAAGAAAAGGTGGGTGGGGGAGGGGGGTTGTATTTGTGTGTGTGTGTGTGTGTGTGTGTGTGTGTGTGTGTATATATATATATATATATATATATATATATATCATCATCATCATCAGTTCGCATTATGCCTAGTGGCACATGAGGCTTCAGAGAGGACTTTCCACGCTTTCCTGTCCTGTGAATTCTTCGATGCAGTTTTCCATGTCAAAGATGCCACACTCAGATCACTTTCCATCGTTCGTCTCCATGTTGTTTTTGGGCACCCCTTTTTTCTCTTTCCCTCTGGTATCCATGTAAGAGCTGTTTTGGCAGGTATATAAGGATTCATTCTCATAACGTGGCCAAGCCATTTCCATCTTCTCTTGGTTATCATACTGTCTAGAGTTTCTTGGTTTGTGACTTGAAGTAGTTTAGTGTTTGAGATTGTATCTGGCCAGAAAATTTTGATAATTCCACGTAGACACGTGTGGTGGAAGGTGGACAGCTTGTGTACATCCTTTCTGGTCATTCTCCAGCATTCTGCTCCATAAAGAAGAACTGGCAAGATGATGCACTTGTAGAGTCGGAGTTTTGTTCCTCTGCAGTAATTGTTTGATTTCCAGATTTGCCTCATCCTTCAAAAAGCAGCTCTAGCTTTGTTCAGGCGTGACTGTATGTCTTTCTCTGTCCCTCCCAGTAGGGACACCACACTGCCAAGATATGTGAAATGTTCTACATTTTCAAGTGATTGGTTACTAATGGTCACTGGTTGTTGGTTTGGACTGTTTGTCATGATCTTAGTTTTCTTTGTATTTATTCTCAGTCCCACCATTTCTGCTGTGCAGTGTAGTCTGTTACTTTTCTGTTGTATATGTTCATGTTTATGTGATAGGAGTGCTATATCATCTGCAAAATCAAGGTCCTCAATGGAGTCCACCGTATGCCTTTCAATGTCTTGTCTACTGTGTTTTTTAGTATCCAATCAATCACAAGGTTGAAGAGGAGAGATGACATGACACATCCCTGTCTTACACCTGTCTTTACTGGGAAAGATGTAATTTTTTATACTGCAGGAAAAGTCTTTATAGAAGAGAGCAATTATGTTGACTTTCTTTTCTGGAATTCCATAAATATATATATATAAAATTTTCTTAAATGTTTTTTTTAATATGTTTGTTTAAAAAATATCTTCTGGGACTTCACTGTTGCAGGCAAGTGGAGCCAGTAAAAGACCATTTCGTAAAGGGCACTATGATGACTGATACGTCAGTGGTGTGGACAAGTACTTGGTATAAATTTTTGTCTTGTCAAGGTCAACTATTAGCCTCTTTCTAATTCTTTTATCCTGCTGCATTCTAGTAGTTGAGGGACTGCTGGGCGAACGGTTTGAACACTGGGCTTTCAGGCGAGAGACCCGGGCTAGAAACCTCGGTAAGGCTGGGAATTTTTCTGTCAGGGGCAAAATAAAACCATCACCGGCACAGTCTGGCGACAGTCCTCGCCATGCGGTCTTAAATCCTCAGGCTCAAAGCCCCCCCCCCCCCCCCCCCCCCCCCACCCCCCCCCCCACCCCCCCCCACCCCCCCCCCCCCCCTTGCCTACACCGCAGACTGGTAATAAAGACAGTCAATGTCCGTTTTTAGGCATACTAGTAGTTTACTTTTCCCATTGTCCCCAAAATGTCCACAGCTGAGTGGAATACCCCACCACCACTTCCCACTTCCCCGGTTTTCCACAGACAAATGACTTCAGTTACAAGCCAGTGGCTGCGAACAGTGCCGGTTCTGTGTATGGCGTAAATACGTAGACAGACATGAATATCAACGCCACACAGCATGGTCTTTGAGAAGTCATGAAACAGAAGGTTGTAGACAGACATGAATACCAACGCCACACAGCAAAGTCACGAGACAGAAGGTTGTGGACGGTCATGACTACCAACGCCACACAGCATGGTCTTTAAGAAGAAGACTGTGATCGTTTGAACGTCCTGGGAATTGACAAACTACTATTCAAGAAATTGCCAAGCGAAGCCACACAAAGCCAACAACTGCTGGATTGGTTTGAGATCTCAAGCCACACAGAGCCAACAATTGCTTGATTGGTTAGGAATCTCAAGCCACACAGAGCCAACAATTGCTGGATTGGTTAGAGATCTCAAGCCACACAGAGTCAACCACTGCTGGATTGGTTAGAGATCTCAAGCCACACAGAGCCAACAATTGCTGGATTGGTTAGAGATCTCAAGCCACACAGAGCCAACAATTGCTGGATTGGTTAGAGATCTCAAGCCACACAGAGCCAACAATTGCTGGATTGGTTAGAGATCTCAAGCCACACAGAGTCAACCACTGCTGGATTGGTTAGAGATCTCAAGCCACACAGAGCCAACAATTGCTGGATTGGTTAGAGATCTCAAGCCACACAGAGCCAACAATTGCTGGATTGGTTAGAGATCTCAAGCCACACAGAGCCAACAATTGCTGGATTGGTCAGAGATCTCAAGCCAAACAGAGCTATCAATTGCTGGATTGGTCAGAGATCTCAAGCCAAACAGAGCTATCAATTGCTGGATTGGTTAGAGATCTCAAGCCACACAGAGCCAACAATTGCTGGATTGGTCAGAGATCTCAAGCCAAACAGAGCTATCAATTGCTGGATTGGTTAGAGATCTCAAGCCACACAGAGCCAACAATTGCTGGATTGGTTAGTGATCTCAAGCCACGCAGAGCCAACAATTGCTGGGCTGGTTAGTGATCTCAAGCCACACAGAGCCAACAACTGGTGGATTGGTTAGGGATCTTAAGCCACACAGAGCCAACAATTTATGGATTGGTAAGGGATCTTAAACCACACAGAGCCAACAATTTATGGATTGGTAAGGGATCTCAAGCCACACAGAGCAAACAATTGCACTGCTGGTTAAGCATCCTAACCCACACAGAGTTAACAACTGCTGGATTGGTTAGGGATTTCAAGCCACACAGAGCCAACAATTGCTGGGCTGGTTAGGGATCTCAACCCCACACAAAGTCAACAATTGCGGGATTGGTTAGGTATCTGCTGTAAAGGATTTTCAATGGACGTAACTATATAAACAATTGTTTGTTGCTACTGACTGTATTGTAACTGCCCTTCCTTCCCAAAGGCTGTGCTGTGTGGCTTTCGTAGTCAACTTGCTTGAGGTTTGTCCCATTTGTTTTGATGCTGCATTCTGGAGGGTCGGTTGTCTTTGTAATTACCATTACTTCAATTTTTCTGCTGTTCAAACTAAGACCCCCTTTTTTTCACTTTCCGTTCCAACGGTATCTATAATTTCTAGCAGCTATGTTTCATTTTCAGCGATCAACACTATATCGTCAGCACACCGCAGGTTGTTAACAATATGCCCACTAACTGCTTTTCCTGGCATGCCATGTATGGATCTATTTATTATTTCGCTGTACAAATTGAATAAATCGGGTGATAGTACACATCCCTGTCTAACGCCTTGTTGAATTTTTTTTTTTTTTTACTGCCCTAGCAGTAGAAAATGGGACAAAGTCATCGTGAGATCCCATGGGAAAGTAACAAATACACATTGTACCAAAGTGTTTACGTTTCGAAACAGACACTTAGTGAGTGAGCTTGTATTTGTTGTAGTTGTACCCCCTAGGAACCAATACATTGTTCTTTCGCCTTATTTTGTATTGGTGTATTCAGTTTTAGTTAAGATTTGTCTTATTGGCCTAGCAAAGCCGACTGTGCGTCTAATTGCTCAGAATAATAAACTCTTGTTGACTGTATTTAGCCGGTTTTTGTTTTTTTTACGGTGTAGGAAAGATGGGTAAAAGTAATTTTATTCTCCCCAAATAGAGTAGGTAACTTTTCATTAACCAGTTTGTTGGGCTGGTCGACTTTCCTGACAGTAACGGGTGTGCCCCGCTCTGTTTGATTTCTGTGATATCTTGCATTTACATTTTCATTCCGAGAAAGAGAATGCCTCTGACATAGGTTGCAGCACTCGCTGGAAGGAGGTGGGGGGTGTTTGAGCCAGTTTTTCCATATTTTTAAATTAGAGTGTTAAAAGCGCTGGCGTGTTGAAATATACAACACGCGATATCAGCGGTATTGCGGAACCCCACCCCCCCCCCCCCGTAACCTTGTCCGAAGGCCACGGGGCTCAGGAACTACCAATCATAAGTGAGCTAGCGTGTATATGGACGAGTTCTGGGGAGACTAACATTACTTTTATCGGAAAGGTTGTGGTGGGAGGGTGGGTGGGGGTGGGAAGACTCCGGGTGTAGTTTAGAGCTAATGCGGTCAAAACAAAATTTACAGATTACGAAGTGTTTTTAGTATCGTTAACTTACTGAGGTTTTGAATTTGGCTTGGGTCTTCCAAACGAGAGCCTTGTGTTCTAAGGCACTGAGCCTAGGCTAACAATTTCACTGGAAAAAGTTACTTACAGAATGGAACTGTAAAATTGTTTGGGTAGCTTGATAACGAAAGACCGAAGGGAAAAATATGTTAGCTGTGTGTCTTTTGCAGGACGTTGCAGACCCAACCCCGCCATTTTAGGCTAAAATGGTTTTTCTAGGCGAATTTCACTTTCAGTTGTTTCACATTACCCTCTAAACCGTCGGCGCTCGTTACCACTGTCTAAATAAACACAGGGCGGTCTTTTAATCAGATGTATAAAGAAAAGAAAGTATATTAATATGGTATTTTTGCCACACTAGGTGCTGAGTGATGCGTGACAAACTAAATGTTCTAGGTCGTTTGAGAGAGAGAGAGAGAGAGAGAGAGAGAGAGAGAGAGAGAGAGAGAGAGAGAGAGAGGGAGAGAGCGTGAGAGTAACAGGGTTAACAATTCGTATGACTATACAATTTTTGAGATAATACAGTTTTATTCAAGGCTTTTTATGTGTGTCGCCCCAACCCACTGAGAGAGAGAGAGAGAGAGAGAGAGAGAGGGAGAGAGAGAGAGGGAGAGAGAGGGGGGAGAGAGAGGAAGAGAGAGGGGGGGGAGAGCGTGAGAGAAACAGGGTTAACAATTCGTATGACTATACAATTTTTGAGATAATACAGTTTTATTCAAGGCTTTTTGTGTGTGTCGCCCCAACCCACTGAGAGAGAGAGAGAGAGAGAGAGAGAGAGAGAGAGAGAGAGAAAGAGAGAGAGAGAGAGAGAGAGAGAGAGAGACGGATTTGACAATACGTATGACTATACAAATAATGAGATAACTGAGTTTTATTCAAGGTTTTATTTGTGTGTCGCCCGAACCCACTGAGAGAGAGAGAGAGAGAGAGAGAGAGAGAGAGAGAGAGAGAGAGAGAGAGAGAGAGAGGGAGAGGGGGGAGCGTGAGAGAAACAGAGTTAACAATTCGTATGACCATACAATTTTTGAGATAATACAGTTTTATTCAAGGCTTTTTGTGTGTGTCGCCCCAACCCACTGAGAGAGAGAGAGAGAGAGAGAGAGAGAGAGAGAGAGAGAGAGAGAGAGAGAGAGAGACGGATTTGACAATACTTATGACTATACAAATAATGAGATAACTGAGTTTTATTCAAGGTTTTATTTGTGTGTCGCCCGAACCCACTGAGAGAGAGAGAGAGAGAGAGAGAGAGAGAGAGAGAGAGAGAGAGAGAGAGAGGGAGAGGGGGGAGCGTGAGAGAAACAGAGTTAACAATTCGTATGACCATACAATTTTTGAGATAATACAGTTTTATTCAAGGCTTTTTGTGTGTGTCGCCCCAACCACTGAGAGAGAGAGAGAGAGAGAGAGAGAGATGAGAGAGAGAGATGAGAGAGAGAGAGAGAGAGAGAGAGAGAGAGAGACGGATTTGACAATACTTATGACTATACAAATAATGAGATAACTGAGTTTTATTCAAGGTTTTATTTGTGTGTCGCCCGAACCCACAGAGAGAGAGAGAGAGAGAGAGAGAGAGAGAGAGAGAGAGAGAGAGAGAGAGAGAGAGAGAGAGAGACGGATTTGACAATACGTATGACTATACAAATAATGAGATAACTGAGTTTTATTCAAGGTTTTATTTGTGTGTCGCCCGAACCCACTGAGAGAGAGAGAGAGAGAGAGAGAGAGAGAGAGAGAGAGAGAAGGGGGGGGAGAGAGAGAGGGATTTGACAATACGTATGACTATACAAATAATGAGATAACTGAGTTTTATTCAAGGTTTTATTTGTGTGTCGCCCCAACCCACTGACTTTTAGAAGTAGTGATGTTACCTACCTGAGATCAATGACTTCGTTTTCCTTAGCTGTGATGGTCAATTTACATTGTGCGTTGTCAGGGTAGTTGTCTGGGTAGTTGGGCGAGGATATCACCCCACTCTGTTCCGCTAGTTCTTCTACACATGCTAGAAGTCAGAATTTTCCAAGTTAACACAAAGAATTTTACTGAAAGGTAATTTACAAACAATTTTCAGATTAGCTGGATCTGCACCACTGGGTGGTGAGCTGATGTTTGACAGGGCAGATGTTGTCAAGGCCTTTTGGGAACAAGTAACGGAATAAGTAGAGAAACAAGATTATTATAGCTTGGAGAGAATGAGGCACCTGAGTGTAACCAATAGGGTTTGGCAGACTCGCTACACTTAGAAGAAAGACGAAAAGGACTTATAACGAGATTGTGACCGGTACCATCAGTATTGGAACTCTGCGCTGGTTGCTGAAGATGAGGACGAAGCACGCATGGAAATGCCCTGTGTGCTGTGATGTCAATTCTTGACCTAACTAACTAACTTACAAATAATTTCTTTTCTACCTCATGCTAACCTCTGTGGTGCTATCTACTGTTAGCAATAGCATAACCGAGCTGGAAGCATCCTAGATGCTCGGATATAAACTGCACCATCGGTTGCTCGAATGGTCTGTCGCCCATGATGTGCTTAAGTTAGTGGCGCGTATATGCTATCGGTTGTGCTGAGAATGCATTCTATGTTAAATGCTCTTACAATGGGCACTGTGGAACATTCCGTGTGGTTTTCATTGGCAGAAGAAAGGATCAATGATGGGGTGACCCGTTTTTTATAAAACTATCACCGTGATTACGTGATTACCTTACAAGAATAAGAGGAATCTCTTAGGAATGCCACAAACGATTTCTTCTGGTGCGAATCATTAGTCTTGGTTTAGCAGGGAAAGACATTGCTGATGCATTTATCCTGAACTTAAGTAAGACTCGAACGTATTTCTGGTATATGTTTTCTTTTTTTCACCATATAAATTATCCCCCACCCCCCATTTTTTTCAGCCTATTAAAAAAAAAAATAAAATCCACCAAATTTAATAAACGTTAACAGAAAGAGAAGGGGCCAAACCTGAAAACTGGCTGTAGGCTGGTCTTGCTGCAAAATGTAGGCACACAAACAGGCAAGTCACCAAAAGCCACAGTTTCGACATCTGCTTTGTTGTAATGGTGACAGGAGTCTGTTATTCCTAGATAACAGAATAAACAATATTGATTTATATTTGCAGCATACAAACGAATCGTTTTGTCAACATGCATCTAAGCTTATCTGTTTATGCTGTTTGAATATTTTGCTTCATAAATTTCATTGTATTCCCCCTCAATTTAATAATGTCAAAAAGGCAAAGGAACAATTTTCCAAGTTAACACAAGGAATTTTACTAAAAGGTGTTTACAAACAATTTACAGATTAGCTGGATCTGCACCACTGGGTGGTGATGTTTGACAGGGCAAATATTGTCAAGGCCTTTGGGAACAAGTAATTCATGAGAATAAATAAGACAAACAATAATCTAGTCTACTAAGGAGAAATCCTGAACACGCCATGTAGGTAGTAATGACTTTAATAATAAGGACACAGATAGAGATATCACAACATAAATACAACATAAAAGTTTTTACAACAATTGGAAATATATGGTGGTCAAATAAAATGACACTATAGTACCAATTTTAAAATAATTTGCTCTAATAACAAATTAGTAATTTTATGTGGAATTTTAAACATTAAAGAACTTTTTTTTTTTCTTATCATTAAAACACTCATCATCATGTAGCAGGTCCTTTGCAGAACGTCGCTCTCATCACAGTCTGAAAGCCTGAAAGAAACTCGGTCTCTCGCCAGTTCTTCCACCTCATTTACTTTCACACTAAAGGAGTCACTTATATCCTGTGCCCATCTTCGTGGCGGTCGACCCCTGCCCTCCATCCTGGTACCATGCTTTCTGCTATAATTTTTTCCAATCCGTCGTGGCGCTTGATATGACCAAAATATTTCAGCTTCCGAGAAAGGATGCTTTTATTAGCCAGTCTTCATTGGTGTTCAGATCTTTTAAGATGTCAATATTTCTCATCTTCTTTGTCCTAGATATTCTGAGAATCTTTCTGTAGCATTTTAGCTCAAAAGCCCATATTCTCTTTCTTAAGGACTGAGAGATAGTCAATGACTCACATCCGTATGTAGCCACATGGAAGATGCATCCTCATTAAAACACTACAGAACTATATAAACTGGTATCTGCTGGAGAAATTAAACTGATATGACAGAATCGATAGTATAGCTTTGGGCAGAAAGAAACAAATTCTAGTGAATTTGGATATGAGGAAATGGTAGGTAGTTGTACCCCACCGGGACATCACACAAGCGATAAACACCTGGTGACACAAAGTACCGCCATGCGGATGAGGATCACCCGTAGAGCGGTACCAGAAACCACTTTTAGCAGTTAGGCCATATCTATCAGTGACCCGGCAGAAGTCAGGGTGGGGCTTTAAATATAAAAATTACATCCCATTTCGGGACTACTTTAACATGATGAATGTGTAAGGTAAAACGTGTCATATCCAAAATTCAAGATAGGCATATCAACCATGTGCACCTGTGGAAATGTGCCCCAGACAGCAGAGCATGTACTCCAGGACTGCACAGAATTTGACACATTAAGGTAAACCTTTCGGCCAGAAAGAACAACAGTGGAACGCAAACTCTATGGACCACTGAATGAACTAACAACGACGGTGAAATTTATACAAGGTACAAAATTGCTAATATAGACAACTTTATTTCAGGCGAACGAAAGAAGAAGAAGAAGACGTGTCACATCGTAATATCCTCAAAGCCAACCTCCATGAAAATAGTAGAAGAAAAGGGAGTATTACAGATTTTTAGCAGTTAAACATTGGAGTCAAGAACCCTTTCCCAAGCTTTCAGACGTATTAGGCATACAACGCTATGGTTAGTTGCATATCCTTTACAGGACGTTGCAAAACCAACACTACCTGGCTGTTGTGTGGTTTTTCTAGGCAAATTTACGTCCAGTAGTTTACCATTGCTTCTGGGTGGTCGGCTTTCTTGATACCACTGTCGAAACCAATGCAAGGCGCATGGCCCGCAGCTGGGATCAAACCCGGCATCCCGGCATTACGAAGCGTTCGCATCGACTTAATATAACACTGGACTTACTGCATATTTTAAGGACTAGTCTGCACTTGGTAGTTGATGTGGTCAACATCACGCCGCCCGCCTTTATCTCCCAGGACTTTTCTGGTACCCATTCTGAGCTAAGTCGACATGGTAGCGAGAACCATTTACAATAAATCCAGCTCCTTTCGCTTGTGAACTCACGAACTCTAGATCGGCACGTGAGTGTTTAGCCGCGATGCCACGGGATTCAAACACCAGTTAAGGCCGGTAAATACTGACCTATTTGTGCCTGTTGCAAGTGTCGTTAGTATGCCTTGCGAAGAGGAAAATCACTGCTCAGCAGAGCACACATGGGTGTGTCCCGAGGGAATTAGAGGTGACTTCAATCAACAAATCAATTATTTCCTAACTGGTGAGTGAAGTGGCGTTGACTCCAATCAACAAATCAGTCATTACCTAACTGATGAGTGAAGTGGAGGTGACTCCAATCAACAAATCAATCATTACCTAACTGATGAGTGAAGTGGAGGTGACTCCAATCAACAAATAAATCATTACCTAACTGGTGAGTGAAGTGGAGGTGACTCCAAACAACAAATCAATCATTACCTAACTGATGAGTGAAGTGGAGGTGACTCCAATCAACAGATCAATCATTACCTAACGGGTGAGTGACGTGGATGTGACTCCAATCAACACACCAATCATTGCCTAACTGGTGAGTGAAGTGGCGCCGACGCCAATCAACAAATCAATCATTACTTAACTGGTGTGGGAAGTGGAGGTAACTCCAATCAACAAATTAATCAATGACTTACTGGTGAGTCAAGTGGTGTGACTACAATCAACAAATCAATCAATACCTGACTGATGAGTGAAGTGGAGGTGACTCCAATCAACAAATCAATCATTACCTAACTGGTGTGTGAAGTGGAGGTGGCTCCAATCAACAAATTAATCATTACCTAACTGGTGAAGGAAGTGACGCTGACTCCAATCAACACATCAATTATTACTTAACTGGTGTGAGAAGTGGAGGTAACTCCAATCAACAAATTAATCAATGCCTTACTGGTGAGTGAAGTAATGTGACTACAATCAACAAATCAATCAATACCTGACTGATGAGTGAAGTGGAGGTGACTCCAGTCAACAAATCAATCATTACCTGACTGGTGAATGAAGTGGCGCTGACTCAAATCAACAAATCCATCAATACCTGACTAGTGAGTGAAGTTTAGTTGACTCTAATCAACAAATCCATCACTCTAATCAACAAATCAATCATTGCCTAACTGGTGTGTGAAGTGTTGATGACTCCAATCAACAAATCAATCATTACCTAACTGCTGTGTGGAGTGGGGGGTGACTCCAATCAACAAATCAATCATTACCTAACTGGTGTGTGAAGTGGAGGTGGCTCCAATCAACAAATTAATCATTACCTAACTGTTGAGTGAAGTAGCGCTGACTCCAGTCAACAAATCAATCATTACCTAAATGGGCCTTGCGTCGCACTTACCTGGTTCACTCGGGAAACCTCTATTTTTCATATATCTACATGGACACCAAAAGACGAGTTTGTTGTAAACGCTCATCTCACAGGGGATTTAAATAGCGAAAAGACCCGGATGTTCCATGAAATGGCTCATAGAGATTAGGTTACCGGAATACAACGGAGAAGTGGGAGAGAGGGCAGAGATACAAATGGTATGTGTATTAAACATTCTGACTAGTTGACTAAACAAGTACTTTCTTTGTTTCTATACAGATTATTTACATATACATATAGGGACAAAAAAAACGTCTTTTAAAAAAAAAATGTTGTTTGTAGAAAAGTTGTCAGTCAAACGTTTTTAAAGGAACGACTTGGTATATACTGTTGTGCAAAACTAAACGGATATAATTGTTATCCTTTTAAATACCTGCTGCTAAATTGTTTACGCATAGACGCACGGCGGTTT